TTAGTGATAGCGATTCCGACGTTGGTAAATGTCAATCTTGTAACTCTATTTTTGTTAAAATTGTTACATTAGATTTGTTTGTATATTATTTGAAATTTCCAAAGATATTTACACTTAAAATAAGATAAATATTTGAGCATTAGAGAAAATGAAAATTCTAAATGCGAAAAGTGCAAATAATACAAATACTTCTTAAGTTTGTTCGCGCACGCTTCAATGTTCTTGCCATAGCTCCTACTTATTCCATCAAGCACGTTGAGATGAGTAGGAGCTATAGTAAAAGGATATTTGAGCATATAAAGTATGCGACGCAAACTTATTGTAATTGAATTTCTAAAATTATTTTTTATGCTTTGTTTCTCTAGATCCCTGGGACAGGCGAAAGAAAAAGGGCAAGAAGCAGAAGAAACCCGCAAAGAAACGTTTGAGCACGCAGGATAAAATTCAATCAATGTTAGTGCATAAACAATCCAGTAATAAAAGTAAACGTAACGGTGACACAGCGATGAGTGGGCCTATGAATGCTATGAGCGGAGGTGCATCCCATAATCAAGCACCACCTAGAGACGCTATCGAAAGGGCTTGCAGCATGAAAGAGGAGTTATTATCGCAAATAGAGATTCTTGGCGACCGATTGCCGCCAAACACACTAGACCAATTGATAGATGAACTCGGTGGACCAGAAAATGTCGCGGAAATGACTGGTAGAAAGGGTCGCGTTGTGCAAAGGGAAGATGGTGGAATAGAATACGAGTCTAGGTCAGAAGTGGATGTTCCTTTAGAAACTCTTAATTTGACGGAGAAACAGAGGTATCAGTAAAACTTATTATATAATAATTTTACAGTCATTCTTTGTGCATAAATTTTTAACAACTCACAGATTAGGATTATAAACTATTTTCTATAATAATTATAATTTATATATCAATCTTTCTAGTTAAATACCGATATTCTATCGATTATCTTTGTATGTTCAGGTTTATGGACGGAGAGAAGACTGTAGCGATAATTTCTGAAGCAGCTAGCAGCGGTATATCCTTACAAAGTGACAGGCGAGTTAGAAATCAAATGCGACGTGTGCATATCACGCTTGAGTTGCCGTGGAGTGCAGACAGAGCGATACAGCAATTTGGACGAACGCATCGATCGAATCAAGTCAACGCGCCGGAATACATATTTCTTATATCGGACTTGGCCGGGGAGAGGCGATTTGCCTCGATCGTCGCGAAACGTCTGGAAAGTCTGGGTGCATTAACGCACGGTGATCGTCGCGCGACTGAGACCCGAGATCTCTCACAATTCAATATCGACAACAAATACGGTCGTACGGCTCTAGAAGCGACAATGAAAACTATAATGGGGTTTGTGTCAATTAAAAATACATTTAAAAAATATTCCATGTGGAATATAGGCTTTAATTCGATTTGATTATTTTAGGTATGACCCACCGTTAGTACCACCACCTCAGGATTATCAAGGTGATTTTTTCAAAGATGTGGCAGACGCGCTAGTAGGCGTCGGTTTGATTTGTAATAGCGAGAATACGCCTGGTGTGCTCACGCTCGATAAAGATTACAACAACATGTCAAAGTTCCTGAATCGTATCCTTGGGATGCCAGTCGATTTGCAGAATCGTCTGTTCAAATACTTCACTGATACGCTTAACGCCATTATTACTCAGGCCAAGAAGACCGGTCGTTTCGACATGGGTATTCTTGACCTCGGTACATCAGGCGAGAACGTTCGTAGGGTGCGTCTTTATCGGTTTTTGCGGAAGCACGCTACCGGCAAAGCACCAACGGAACTGCACGTAGTTCATGTCGAGCGCGGTATGGGCTGGTCCGAGGTTACAGACAAGTTCTCGGAACTGACTGGGGCTAAGGAAGGTTTCTATCTGAGTCACCAGATCCGCAATGGTAAACAGACGGCCATTCTCGCAGCCGCGGTAGACAGTGGCAAGAAAAAGTCCGAAAGCAAGAAGGATCAGCTTTATATGGTGTATAGGTACAGTTATTTAAAATTCCATCGTATATTCACGGTTTATCGCAAACAAATTAATTATAATCCTTGATGTTGGAAATTAATGATTGCGTATTGTCAGGCCCAACACGGGTTTGCAGTTGCGACAAGAGACTCTAGGCGAGTTAGAGAAGAAGTACAAGAAGGTAAGCGCCGACGAAGCGGAGCCACACTGGACACAACAGTACGAGGCCTCTGCGAACACGTGTTCGCATGCATATTGGAGTGGCAATTGTAAAAACGCCACCCTCGGCATAGATTGCGAAGTGGGGCTAAGAAGACGTTCCTATAATGTATTAGCTGGTTCGGTTCTGAGTGTTTGGAGCCGTGTGGAGAATATACTTGCTGCACGATCCGGACATAATTCTAAGATGCAAGTTATACGGTTACGTACGGGTAAGTTGAGTTTGAGAATAACTATTCAATGTCGATTAATGTTCTAATAATATCTGAAACCGTCTAACATTTCCTTTTGATGTTCGTGACAGACGAAGGGTTAAAGATTGTCGGGACGCTTATTCCGAAGTCTTGTATGGAGTCGTTACGTCAAGCGCTCTCCTCTGACGCAGAAAAGACAGAGGAACTGACGTTTTGAGCATTGAGTCTTGCGTCAAGGGTAAGATTATCGTCGCCGAGATAATCTCCGCGAGTTAATAAAATTACTTTATTGTTATAGATATGAATAGGACCAAGCGAGACTCTCTTGATGTGACCTAGCATACTGCAACTATAGGAAGACTCTTCTTTTCTTAAACTTTTCGTCCAAATGCGAGAAAAGGAATGAATTATGAATTCAGCCGTGATTGCGTGTGTTTACATATATTACTTGCCCGGTACCGTTAAGATGTGGTGGCACCAAGTAGATTACGAATTGAATCTACTGATCAGCGTGACGAACACAAGTAAACGCTTCCGATTAATTATCGACAAGGCTAAGATCACAACTTGCTGCTTATTTCTTTGTCATGTCTATGCAATCGTTCGCGAGAAATGTTAATATTCATTCGCCACATATTAACGTAGATTTTTAAATAGTTGAATCTTTTCTTTTATCATTTTCTATATATGATATATACACACCTCTTCCACGATGATTATAATTAAAAGAGGAAGTTTATTTTTTACGTCGTCGCTGTTAATCATATTTTCGTCCATGAGGTTCTAGCAAACGTGTGACATGTAGTAGGATGAATACAGACTCTATTATGCGAGAGAATGTAATCATTTAGAGAAGTAACAGAGCACGTATTTTCCTGTAGAACACGTAAAGTATAATCGATTAATAGTTTATACGATTTAGAAACCTGTTGTTTTAAGCTATTCCTTAACGCTAACATCCGAAGAGTATCGACTGTTATCATTGCAATAGTGCCAGTAAATTTAATTAAACGTGATAATTATTGAGGGAATGCGGATTAATGGAGAATAGTAAGACAATTGGAACAATCGATCCTCTTCGGAAAGTATAAAAGTATACGCGACAGCTTTGGTTTTTATTTGATCATTAAATCGATCAGATAATTAGAGAGGTGTTACACATACACATGCTACTGCTACCGTTACTATTATAGGCTATCATTATTACTATAAATTACTGCTACTGCTATACACTAGTACTAGTGCTCTACCGTTACAAAACTATCATTAATATTATCTAGATCTGAAGAGACGAGGTAATCACATGAGTATTGCAAATGTGCTTTTCCGAGTCAACCGTAAAAGTTAAGAGACTTACAAAGAAATCCATGGAAGTGTCCTCCAATTTTAATGATTTTTGAATATGTTGTTTTCTAGATAATAAGAATGCTTTTACAAGGGTACTTTTAGAGGATGTGACACCTCTTTGAAGAACAGCGGTTTTTTTTTCTTTTGAAACGAATATGTAAGAGATAAAGAAAAGATTCTGAATAAAGATCGAATAGTTTGAGAAGTACTTAATTATAATTATTGAAAGATTAATGTTTGTAAAAATAGAGAGCTGCAGCCACACGCTAGATTTATTTAGCGACGTTTATTATAAAACATTCTACACATTATAAATTAAGATGCAAACGTTTCGGCCCTAAATGCAGTTATAATTATTGAGTTGTATGCTTAATTCAAGTATACTTAATTATAATTATAACCATTGAACTTTCATTAAACTTTTTTTATCTCTTACACTTTTGACAGTTCGAAAGACTGATTTTTTTCAAAGGGATACACTTCCTAAAAGTGCGATTAGATTCTTATAAACAAATCTATATCAGCCTTATTCTATCCACTCCTGGATATCGGCCTCTTCCAACCTTTTCCATTACTCTATATACGGTCTTTGGAACCTACAATGGCTGCGTTACGTTGCACGCATAATATACATAAAGTATCATGTTATCTTTATTGTTCACAAAGTGTTAAACAAGGATAAAATGATTTTTCAAGCGCATTATGCTTACAACGGAATGCAACCAATATTTAACGCCGAATTCGAACGGTTATGGCAAGGATTTCTCAGAGATTTGCCATTGTCTTCCGAGAGGTGGCGATCAAATAAAATTTGATGTTCTGGATAAATTTGAACGCTGGAGCTTTAACATAGGGAGCAGTCACACTATACACTCTATGCCACGATCGCTACTTATAAAAAATACGTGATCCTTATTTTTTGTCCAAAAAGTATGTTCAAAACTCATCAAAATCGGAGGGAAATATTTCCATAAGTTTCCTTGTTATAATATCCAAGTGCCAAGTTATACATTTATTTTTTTCTTCCTTTTTTTATTATGACAGAATACGGACCAGTAAAAAATGAATTTTAGTTAAATGTGTTTATTTTGTTCTATATATCATTGATTATACCGTAAGAAAAAAAAATTCGTTCTTGACACAAAACTATTATTTTTAAAAGTAAAATAAGAAAGTATTCCTAAATTATAATTTTACATAAAATCGGAATTTTTTTATTTTTCTTAGACAATTGAGCTATATTTTTCTTAGTTCATTGTAGTTTCTTATGCAATTTTATAAAATTGAAATAAAATCGTAGAGATGTCTGATGTCTAATATCTTCCTATATACCTCAACGAAATATTTATCAAAATTATTTAAGACATAATACGCACGCCTCGTCTCTCAACGATCTCCACCTATACTAATTAGCCTTAAAACATAAAAAAAGAAAAAAGAATTAGATTGAAAAAAAAATACATACAGCCGATATATTTATATTCAGATACATAAACTAGCAACCAGTGCGGCCTGCATGTATATTGGATGTAGACTGTTTGTGTCCGTTTGTATGTTTGAACGAGATTCAAATAGGTCTGAATGAAGAACAAATGATGATAATATAGACCTCGATCTATTATCTCTGATAATATATTAAAACTTCAAAGATGCAGATTTAGAACGTAGAGTACTATCCGAACAGTTGAATAGAATCAACCCGTGATTAGAATTTTCATTTTAGTGATTTAACTCTTAAGAACGTGCGAATGATGCGTTTGTGTATGACGAGAAACGAGAGAGAGAGAAAGAGAGATTCGTCATCCACCTGTTTCCACAGTTATCTTCATCGTAAATTATCCCGCGGTAGTTACGCAATAAAAACTGCGTAGTTTTCCACGGATAACGACTACATATTACATTTATAAAGGAGATCGACAGAGGGAAGAACATCCGATTGTAAAATATATATCGGTATTCCCTTTTTGTAACGAATGGAGAAAGAACGAAGGGAAGTGCGATATTTAATGTTAAAGCGAGACTTATCGTAGATTTAATTCTTTTAGCTATCGATTATTCGTAAGACGTAATATATTAATTATTACACGTTACTTTAGCGAAGCAGTAGATGCGATTCAAAGGTATTAACCGCGTTCAATTCAGAGCTCGATCTCATAATCCGCGACAGTAATTAAAAATTCAGGAGCAGGATTTTATACAGAAAGTTATAAGGTAATTTGTAGGAAGCTCTGATGAAGTTATAAACGCTAAACATACATGTAAATATATATCGAGGCTGTAAAAGAGGCGAAACTTTAGTATGTACGGAACGCGTTTTGTGTTCGGTATTTTTTTTACAATTATATCTCGCTTGAGTTCCTATTTTCTCGAGGAGACTTATAAATGTAGTATCTAGAGTACACGTGGAAACAGGCATCGTGCTTTCTAGTGAAAACAATTTTCTTTTTCGTAATGTATTGTGTTTTCGCGGATGACTCACAAGTGAGCGAATGCACTGCGTGTATATATGCATATATAAATGTCTGTGTATGTAAAACCAATTCTTACCCGAAACGACGACGATACTCACCATTTTTGCTCTGAAAACTCTTTAAAGATCCCGTTCTGCGTTTTATCGAATTGATTGATTTTAACGCTACTCTTTTTTTTCTATAACTTAAAATTACTAAATTAGCGTGCATCCTTTCCTTTTTATTATCACCAAGTGTGTTAAATAACGCAGAATGCAAAACTATTGGTTTATACAGATGTGAAATATAATAATTTTATCGCAAAATGTGCAAATCCCTTACCCACCAAAACCTTTTCTTATAGAAACAAAATTAACCGTCACATAAAGGAAGTATGTTCACAAATAAATCGCGATGTCATCTTGTTATGTTTTCAGCATTCAGGAAATCAATAAATCCACAATTAGCGCTATTATAAAGACTCATATTTTAACATTTATTAAGTTAACGTGTCGAATTTGGATGAAAGCTTACATTGTGTACCCCCACATCTTGTACTTCGGTATAAAAAAAACAGACAAACTTCTTTTCGTGCACTTTGAACGCAAGTAGAAGAAAGTACACTTGCTCAATCATTCACGCACATATACAATCTCGCATACCCTATCATACTAAATTCCCTACATGTTTATTAGCTCTCCATATAGTACCTTTTAAACGTATATATATATATCTTTACTGTAAAACGTACTGCAAAAATTTCCATAATGAAATAATCGCTATTTGAAGATGGAAGCATCTTTGTATCTTGTCTAGTGAAAGGCGTACAGAAGCATTAAAAATGTACAAACTCCAATAACGAGGCCGAGTATAACAGAATCTCTTCTCTTACGTAGATTTATCCTCTGCAGTAGACTGTTCACCGCTGGAAATCGATTGGAAATATCGTTGAATCGAGTCCGTATACGTTTGAACGCCTGTCTCTGAGTCACGAGGTGATCCCGTGTCTCCATCGCTATGCTTATTTGGTCATTGATCAATCGGTCGGAACTAAAAAGATTAATAACATTAAATATACATATCTTAAGAACTTTTTAATAAAAATAGGTTTCGAATATATTCAGTTAACAAAAAAACAAAAATTGTGTTGAAAAAAAAGAAAATCTAATTTTTAATGGATAAAATTTATTAAATGTATGTAAATGAATCTATTCGAAAATGGTAGCTTAGTATCAACGATAAAATGATAGTTTAATATCAACATTTCCTATGAGACACCCTGTATTTTCAAAAAAATTAATAAAACACCTATCAATGTTATTTATCACAGCATCATCATTAACAAGCTGACTTACTTATGAATATGTTGATTTTCCTTGAGATACATTTCACGCCGATTCAATCCAGTTGCACTTTTGTAGTTGCTATATATAAAATTATATAACATAAGAGATTGATTTAGTTTCTATCAATATAAAATCTGAAATATGCAATGTATAAAATAAATAACAGTCATACATACTCTATTTCTTTACGGACACTGCCTAGAAGATCCTCGCGGTCTTTCCTAGCCGTAAAGTTATTTCTAATCTTGTTGAACTCCAGTTTGTAGTCCTTTAGTATTTCCTTGTGACGTTGCATTGTATGTAACATAGCTGCTCCATTTGGCTGCAACTCGCTCATCCTCTCGTTTATGGAGAACAACTGTGTCAATTATATTTGATCAGTATATCCGTTTGCTTGTAAACATACAGGAGAAGAAAGAAGAATCTACCTTGGAGAGCAGCGTCTCAATCTCTGATGCCATATTCTCGAATACCTGTTCTTCATCCAAAAGAGGAACTTCCTCTGAACTAGCATGTCTCGTACCTGTATTTATGCCCAACTTGCTAAAAGCTACTAGCTTTGCATCAATCTCATTTTCCAGATGTCTCGCCTGCTTTCTCAGATCTACAACAGTGACTTACATAACTAAGCAGCAATTTCTAAATACAAAATATAAAAAGAAAAATCATCAAGAGCAAGAAGCATGCTCTTTTTAGGACTCTATTATAGGCTAATTCCTTTTTTACATTCTAAGCCTAAACTTCTTGCATGGTTCATCTTTTGTCTTTTTCTCTTCAAGGCTGTTTCAAAATTTACTATCCACACGCACGCACACACACACCAATATTAAAAATTGTATAGTTTACAGTAATACATTTATGAAGCAAAGACGATGTGAAAAGAAAAAGAAGAAAGAATGAACCATACAAGAAGTGCAATCCTGAAGTACAGAAAAAGAACAGACCTAGCGTCACGTCACGATTGATTGTGGATCACAAATAATGCAATGTGGAAACACGAACGACACAGATGAAATAACGTCATTATCAAGGATGACGTGCAGAACATGGTTCTTTATTTTTAGAATACTGACAACGTAAACAAAGAATACGTATATCGGAGTATTGTTCCTTTCCTTAAACGTCTAACGGTACCCGCAAGTTTCGCTGCGTCTTCAGACAAAATCTTACCTTCCCAATCAACCGTGCCCAGCGAACCAGCCATTTATCGTAAATCGCAAACACACGCTTTCGTGGATGACATATAAAACGTCACATAACACCCTTCACTTCCTCCAGCCTCTATCTCGAACGGATCTTGTCTTGACAAATGGGGAAAAACGTAACAAGCCCTCTGCAAAGTGCGGATTTAGGAAAAGCGTACAGCGACCTCACGACTCGTAATTTGTTGCACTCCGAACCCGCACGTGCTATTAATTTTGTCACCGACGGGATATTTTAAAGACGATCGGCTCTTATAAATTTTAGAGTTACTATTAAAATTTAAATGATAGTGTGTGCGTATGTGTGTGTGTGTGTATGTACGATACTAATTTCGCATAATTATTAGTTTCGTAGACATGTATATATATTTAAATATTTGATATCTATTAAAAACTGTGATTTTAATGTTATCATCCGAGTTTGATTATCAATAGAGGTGATAATTTTTTGACAATATATATATATATATATATATTAGATATTATAGTATTAAAAGTATGCGTACTTTTTTATACAACATTTATATAACAAAAGATCACAAATTAAATAATGTGTATTATCGAAATATTTATGTTAATCGTAAATATTTATCAATTGCCGATAATGTCATCGTTTTTCAATTATCCAGTAATCCATTGATAATCACAAAAATTTACCTCAAAATAAAGCCGATCGTTTAATCTAATTGTCATAGTGGTATTTTTAAGTTCCAAAATTCTATCGATTTTGAAAAGACCGTATCGAAACTTAAGATGATAAATTGACAATAAAAAATTAAATGTTTACAGTTTATCGAAATTTATAATAAATTGGTAATCATTGAAAAAAACTTGAAAAAAACTTGAATAAATTTTTATTTTAATTAGAATTTTTAAAAAAGGGAAAAAGAAGAAATAAATTATAAATTGTGAATAATTTAAGTACTTCACGAATATAAAAATATTAAAAATATAAATATTAATTAAAAATTGTCATAGCTTAATTTCAAAAAAGAATAAATTTGTTTAGCGCGCAGCGTTCATTAGTTGCGTTCGATAAATTATCTTTCAGATGCTGATCGAGCTGTTGTGTTTTCCAAACGCAGTCTCGCAGAAGTATGTATACGTATATACATGCTGACACACACCACATTGCTCACGCATACCCGGAGCGGTATTGTTTGAAGATGGTGCGACTCACATTGGTGCATGACATTTTCAGTGCCTTTCGAATATTTCAATCACATTCTTTTGTATCATTTGCACGCGAAGCTGTTTAGAAAGAGACCAAAGTTAAGTGGGTGTTATTCCCTCGCGATATCTGTTAACACAGCCAGCAAATCTGGATGAGACCAGGGAGAGGATGATCGCCGCCTCAGAACCGGTGGTAAAGTCGATTGTTACAATTATTTATTTATTTATTTGTTCTGCACTAATACTAAGACAATCAGAAAACTGTGGCTAACGATAGGTACAAACTAAGCATTTTATTTCAAGGAAATATTTGGCATAACACACAGGCACATGATTATTGTCTTTTATTTCACATCTGACATCTTATTGTCAGGATAGATATAAAAAATGAAAATAAATCCCTGAATCATGTCTCTGATTTATATTTATTGCAATTCAAGTAATTTTACCTTTATTTTGCTCTTTGTCTGACTTGTCAGCGATTGTCTATATAGAGTTAACCTTTTAGAATATAATGTTGAATGAATAACTATTGTTATCCTAATTTACAACATAAATAACAATTACGGTATTTAATGTAAAATGAGAAGAGATTCAACAATCTATGATAAAAACTTAGTAAAGATTATATAAGATGGTTATTGATAATACATAAAAACTTGATATTTTTTTAAGGAGTACAAGCCAGGTGGTCGAGAGATAATCTTAAAACATCCTGGATCCCTGATCAGTCATCAGTCTAATAATCGAACGGTTGGTGGAGAAAATGTTCTATTAAAAAGATTTAGTGAAGTAAATATATCAGAAAAATCTCCTGTAAGATTTCAGAATAAATAATTATAATATAATAAAGAGGAGAGAACGGGTTTGAAAATTTATGTTTATAATTAGCCTTAATACTATTTGCTTTAAATATGTTTTTGTTTACATACATCTTAATTTAAACATTATTTTGCTAATATAATGAAAAATTAAATCAAATATGAAGATAAGTCATGTTATTTGACATCCATTCTCTCTTAATCTATTTTTCTTTATGTAAAATCTTTTCAAAATAATATTTAATGATAAATGTCTAATTTTTAGAATGAGACATGGTTGGTACGCAGTAATAAAATATGCGAGGAGGAAGAATTATATTATTCGGGTAAAGTAGCGGTTCACTGTAAAGGCAATCAAACTACTCGAGTCCTTAAAGCAACCTATACATGTGAAACTGATATTAAGCATGCACTTTGGTGCACCTTTCACACTAGTATTCCAAATCACTTGATCAAAAGTAAAGAATATGAAGCTGATGATTTCATTGACAAATCTATAGAATGTATTTGCTTGCTTGACTCCTATACTCTTAAGGTTTTTACAGAAAATGGCGAAGACTACGTTTCTGCTTTACAATTTCAGGTAAAGCATCTTATTTTACTTTTTTTTTGTAAGAATAAAATATGTAACTGAGAGTGAAGATGTGTATGATGGCATTGTATTTTTTTTCTTGTGATCTTCTATTATAAAATGAAATGCTTAAAACTTTAAAGCAAATATCAAAAATGTTTATAATATTGAATTTCATTTTACTTTAACTACACATTTATGAAAAACTAAGCTGACTAGCATTCAGAGAAATGATTATTGTTGTTTCTTGAAACTGTGAAAGCCATTTACAAAAAAATTATTACAACCATTAAATTAATTGTAAAGATTTATATTAACTTGCTTTATAATTTTAAATATAACAGGTCTCTGCTGTATGGCCGACAAAATATGGAATTATACTTGAAAAATCTCAAGTGCCAATTACAGATTCGAGGTATATATAACATTATTAAAAATTAAACAAAATAAAATCTGCATTATGATAATGTATGCCTCTATATTCTTTGTTTTATTAATAGTTATTAATAGTTGATACAAAATTTTAATTACAACGTGTTTATGTTCATGTTTTTTATTTTTAGATACGTATCATTTGAAAACAGCAGATTACCAGTGCAACACGATAATTTACCAGTGGCCTTTTCATTAATGCATCCGTTAGATGAAATTTGTCCTCTACTTATTAAGCATGGTAAATAAAATAGTTTATTTATAAAATTAAATGCAAATAATAACTGTATTATAAAAAAATCTCATGCATTCACATGATTTATGCGAAAATTAAATGTTTTGATTAATTTTTATTTCTTATAAAACTGAATTAAATATTTTAGGGTCTGTGTCATACATGAACGACTCAAATCAACAGATTATATTTACTAACTCAGAGCCATCCTTTGCTATGATATATGATACAAAGACAGGTTTACATTCGGTTTACAAAATTCGCAAAGCGTCAACCGAGGAATGCCAAATAGTTTGTGGAAGTAACGACACGATGAGTTTGTTTAATCATTCAACGATGTCGCCATTAAATGTTGGCAGCAATTTATCTGCTAACAAAAGCTGTACCAATAAGGGTCCTCTAAGTCCCTTTCTTTTTGGTAATGAAATATCCACATACTTTTGTACACATATGCATGTATATAAAAGAATGAAAATTTAGTTAATTAATCTTCATATCATAATGTAAAGATGTGTTAAAACTAAATAATAATTATATAATAATACAATTATACAATAATTATAGTTATACAATTTGATCAAAATAAATTGTAGGAAAAATTGATGTAAATGAAATATATCTGTTGCAGGAGTGTCAAGCTTACAACTAAATAACTCTAGTTTAGGACTATCTAATACTCCATTTGGATCGCGTACTACATCTTATAGTACTAATTCGGGTGGACCGTCACCTCAACAACAACAGCATTCACGGTCACAAAGCTCGATGGCTACCATTTCTCGTTGTCAATCACCTACCCAATCAGCTATGTCTCCTCTGCTTGGACCACCTGTAAACTCAAATATCTACCATAGCAGATTACATCAGACTGTCATGATAACTGGCTTAAATCAAACACATAGTCCAGCTCCCAGTTACAATAGCATTCGATTAAAAGATATTCCAACTGCAAGCAAACCTTTATATCCTGAGATCTGTCTTGAGCACGTATGGACAGAAAATGTTGGTGTGTCCAAGTAAGTAATTCGTATATTTTGTGTTACGCATATTATATCCATTTTCATTAAGCTTTAAGGAGAAATTGATTAATATATGTTAAAAATGAAAGAAATTGAAAAATATTTTTATATTTTTTTAGAGATATTTGTGGTCGTGCATCTAAGGTTTTTTTAACATCAGATCTTGTTGGACAGAATTACTTGGGCTATTTAATTCCGAATCGTTCGCAACTGTCTTTAATGAGATTAGAGAAAACTAACAAACAACAACAAATTATTTTCGGAATGGTAACGAACATTGTGGCTAAGGATGCTATTAATTTGTCGGTTGGTGTATATTATTTATCTGCATATTAAAATAAGGAAAACACAATTATTTGAAATGTAAAATATGTGTGTTAATTAAAGTAATTTGATAGTAACAAATTGATTTCTTCCAGAATTTGCACATGATAGCGATTGTAGATTTGTCAAACGGTATAACGTTATACACAGGAGTTACATGCGTGGGTAAATTGCATATATCTGGTATGCTCTCGAATTTTACGGGCAGTAATTACTTTTTATCAAATAGCAATTCTAAGCTCGGATCTCCATTTCCGAGACGGAGTTCCTTGATTTCTCAGAGTTGTACAGCCTCGCACGAAATTAAATTCGAAGAAGCTTTACATTTACTGAGTCCTGTAGGTGGTAATTGTGCTCGTCCGCCGATACTCTTGGAAAATTCATTACTGGACACAAGTTTTCTTGCTTTGAAAGAATCTGTAGGTAATGAAATAACCGTGGAATGCGGAAACAAGCAATATTTTCGTATAGCAATACCTGTTGCCAGTACATCACCTTTAGGTAAATATATTAAACCTGAGAAACATTAGCATATAAATAAATAAATTTATTAATAATGAATGCAAATAGTTTAAAT